TGCTACCTGGTTAGCATGTGCCACGGAGTTGAGCCAATTGAGTCGGATGAAAATGGAATCGGATATAAAGAAATCTAGGCGAGATGGGTCACAATACTTATAAAAGTATGTACCAAATTAGGTTGTGTTCCACAGGATGCAGCTTTCTAGGCTGGATCCGTTTACTGGTATGGAAATGGTTGAGAAAGTGGACACTGCTACCTGGTTACGGCTGGATCCGTGTACTGGTACGGAATTGGTTGAGAAAGTGGACACTGCTACCTGGTTAGCATGTGCCACGGAGTTGAGCCAATTGAGTCGGATGAAAATGGAATCGGATATAAAGAAATTTAGGCGAGATGGGTCACAATACTTATAACATTATGTATAAAATTGTGTTGTGTTTAACAGATGCAGCTTCGAGGCTGGATCCGTGTACTGGTATGGATTTGGTTGAGAAAGTGGACACTGCTACCTGGTTAGCATGTGCCACGGAGTTGAGCCAATTGAGTCGGATGAAAATGGAATCGGATATATATATATAAATTAGGCGAGATGGTTCACAATACTTATAAAAGTATGTACCAAATCGGTTGTGTTCCACAGATGCAGCTTCGAGGCTGGATCCGTGTACTGGTATGGAAATGGTTGACAAAGTGGACACTGCTACCTGGTTAGCATGTGCCACGGAGTTGAGCCAATTGAGTCGGATGAAAATGGAATCGGATATATATAAAGTTACGAGATGGGTCACAATACTTATAAAGTATGTACCAAATTAGGCTGTGTTCCACAGATGCAGCTGCGAGGCTGGATCCGTGTACTGGTATGAAATTGGTTGAGAAAGTGGACACTGCTACCTGGTTAGCATGTGCCACGGAGTTGAGCCAATTGAGTCGGATGAAAATGGAATCGGATATATATAGAAATTAGGCGAGATGGGTCACAATACTTATAAAAGTATGTACCAAATTAGGTTGTGTTCCACAGATGCAGCTTCGAGGCTAGATCCGTGTACTAGTATGGAATTGTTTGAGAATGTGGACACTGCTACCTGGTTAGCATGTGCCACGGAGTTGAGCCAATTGATTTGGATGGAAATTGAGTCGGATATAAAGAAATTTAGGCGAGATGGGTCACAATACTTATAAAAGTATGTACCAAATTAGGTTGTGTTCCACAGATGCAGCTTCGAGGCTGTCCCGTGTACTGGTATGGAATTGGTTGAGAAAGTGGACACTGCTACCTGGTTAGCATGTGCGCCGTGTACTGGTACGGAATTGGTTGGGAAAGTGGACACTGCTACCTGGTTAGCATGTGCCACGGAGTTGAGTCAATTGAGTCGGATGAAAATGGAATCGGATATAAAGAAATTTAGGCGAGATGGGTCACAATACTCCAGTCGGATGAAAATGGAATCGGATATAAAGAAATTTAGGCGAGATGGGTCACAGTACTTATATAAAAGTATGTACCAAATTAGGTTGTGTTCGACAGATGCAGCTTCGAGGCTGGATCCGTGTACTGGTACGGAATTGGTTGGGAAAGTGGACACTGCTACCTGGTTAGCATGTGCCACGGAGTTGAGTCAATTGAGTCGGATGAAAACGGAATCGGATATATATAAAAAGTAAGGCGAGATGGGTCACAATACTTATAAAAGTATGTACCAAATTAGGTTGTGTTCCACAGATGCAGCTTCGAGGCTGGATGGTGTACTGCTATGGAAATGGTTGCGAAAGTGAACACTGCTACCTGGTTAGCATGTGTTACGGAATTGAGCCAATTGAGTCGGATGAAAATGGAATCGGATATAAAGAAATTATGGCGAGATGGGTCACAATACTTATAAAAGTATGTACCCAATTAGGTTGTTTTCCACTGGTGCAGCTTAGAGGCTGAATCCCTGTGCTGGTTTGGAATTGGTTGAGAAAGTGGACACTGCTAGCTGGTTAAGCTGGATCGGTGTCCTGGTATGGAAATGGTTGCGAAAGTGGACACTGCTACCTGGTTAGCATGTGCCACCGTACTGGTACGGAATTGGTTGGGAAGGTGGACACTGCTACCTGGTTAGCATGTGCCACGGAGTTGAGCCAATTGAGTCGGATGGAAATGAGAATCCGAGTTATTTACAATTTAAGGCGAGATGGGTCACAATACTTATAAAAGTATGTACCAAATTAGGTTGTGTTCCAAATAAGGCGAGATGCGTCACAATACTTATAAAAGTATGTACCAAATTAGGTTGTGTTCCACAGATGCAGCTTCGAGGCTGGATCCGTGTTGGACAGGAGAATACCTGTCAACTCTTCAAGCCCGACAGATTTGGTTGCATAGGGGACGTTCACTGAGGGTTGAGACGTTGTTCTCATGGCCGACGAAAAGCTACAACGCGACAACGTGCCACTGGGTGTAGTCATAGAAGGCCACACGGATTCAGATGGACTAGTAAGAACAGTGAAATTGAAAACATCTGGCGGTGAACAGGTGCGGACAAGTGTGTTTGTTGGAGGGAGATGACCACCTTGCCGTGACCTGATGGAGTTGTGGTGGCCCGCCATATATTGTATTCACTTACCTTCCCCTTTGTATCAATTGCGTCCCCAGTGATATCCACCTCACCTGTATATAAACGCATGTTTCCAAGTCCTTGCCATACGTTTTCTCCGTTTCATTTCGTGACTGAGTGTCCCTCTATAAGATCGATACACAATCTATGACATTAATCTCGAAGGTGTAACCCATTTTCTCACAACATCCATCCATTCACTTACACACATCACCTGCATGCTGAACATGATTTCATTTGTAAAACTTAAACAATAAATACACCGACCACATTCCCCCTCCTTATTTAAACATCGAGACTTTATCTGTAATCATATTCATTCGACCCACTGTTATCTGGTTTATCGTGCAACTGGCTGCAAGCGTGCTGACGCAGAAGGCAGATATCGACGAAGGAATGTGCAAGTCATCGGAGGTCAAGATCAACGAGTGCGGCGAAGGTTGAACAGTTTGTAGTCAGAAGCACTGACAGCAGGGACTAGTTAGGTAGATAGATAGACAAGAATCAATGACCTGCGCCAAACATTTGACTCAGATGAGCGCAGGAATGACTTTGGCGGCCGGTGTATTTCATTCTGATTTTTTTGAAAATCCTTCCGAACCCATAATGATTTATGGTGCAATAACTCTATCTGTGTGTTGATTCTCTATTGACATTTCTGAATCACAGACACCATACATTATTCTTTATCTGTTAATTCGA